ATTGTAGTTGTCACATGTGCTGAAATACAACAGGTGTAGACTTTACCATGAAATGCTTACTTACGAGACCTTTCCCAACAGTGCAGAGTTAAAATGTAGAGTCCAGTGAGTATGCATAGAGCCAGTGCAAGAGAGTCAGTGCAACAACAACAAAAAGGGAGTCTATACAAATTGTCCGGGTAGCCATTTGATTAACTGTTCAGCAGCCTTATGGCTTGGGGTTAGAAGCTGTTCCGTTGTATGTACAGGATACACATGGTATACACCGTCCAACTAAATGCTTACTTGCAGGTTCCTTCTCGACAACACAACAACAATAATTAAAGATAAGAATACGAACATAAATTAAATGGCTCAGTAGAATAGAATAGACATTTTAGCAAAAGTGGGCATAGGTATCATTAAAAAGGTAGAAAGAGGTGGAATAACTTGGGATTCATTGAGCCAGTTATGAGAAGTATAAAAAGAAGAATATGAAAGTGTGATAACAGTTGGGGACGATGGGATCAAACTGAAAGTTGGGGAGGATGGGGTCAAACTGTAAGTTGGGGAGGATGGGGTCAAACTGTAGTTGGGGAGGAGATGGGGTCCAAACTGTAAGTTGGGGAAGGATGGGGTCAAACCTGAAAGGTTGGGGAGGATGGGGTCAAACGTGAAAGATGTGGAGGATGGGGTCAAACATAATGTTGGGGATGGATTGGGGTCAAAACTGTAAAGTTGGGGAGGGATGGGGTCAAACTGAAAGTTGGGGGAGGATGGGGTTCAACGACTGAAAGTTGGGGAGGATGGGTCCAAACTGAAAGTTGGGGAGGATGGGGTCAACTGAAAGTTGGGGAGGATGGGTCAAACTGAAAGTTGGGGAGGATGGGGTCAAACTGAAAGTTGGGGAGGATGGGGTCAAACTGAAAGTTGGGGAGGATGGGGTTCAAACTGCAAGTTGGGGAGGGATAGGGTCCACAAACTGAATTTGGGGGAGGATGGGGGGGTCAAAAAAATTTGGGGGAGGAAGGGAAAAACCGGGAAATTTGGGGAGGAGGGGGGTCAAAACTAAAAAAGTTGGGAGGATAGGGTCAAACTAAAAGTTGGGGGAGGATGGGGCAAAATGAAAGGGGGGGAGGAAGGGGTAAAAACGGGAAATTTGGGGGAGGATAGGGGTCAAACTAAAAGTTGGGGAGGATAGGGGGTAAAAATAAAATTTTGGGGGGGGGATGGGGTCAAACCGAAAGTTGGGGAGGATGGGGTAAAAACTAAAAGGGTTGGGGGGGGGGGGGTTTCAAACTAAAAAGTTGGGAGGGGGGGGTTTAAAAATGAAAGGGGGAGGAGGGGGTTCAAACTGAAAGTTGGGGAGGATAGGGTAAAAATGAAATTTGGGGGGGGAGGGGTAAAAATGTAAGTTGGGGGGTTTGGGGTCAAAGGGAATTTTGGGGGAGGATGGGGGCAAAAAAAGTTGGGGGAGGAGGGGTCAAACAAAAATTTGGGGGAGGATGGGGCCCAAACTGAAAGTTGGGGGGGGGGGGTTCAAACAAAAAAGTTGGGGGGGAAAGGGGTTTTAAAACTGAAAATTTGGGGAGGATGGGGCCCCAAACGAATTGGGTGGGGGGGAAATGGGAAAATAAAAAGTTGGGGAGGGGGGGGTCAAACAAAAAGTTGGGGAGGAGGGGGCCCCAAATGAAAGTTGGGGAGGAGGGGGGAAAAACCAAAAAGTTGGGGGGGGGGGGTTAAAAACCCCCTGGGTTGGGGAGGATGGGGTAAAACGAAAAGTTGGGGAGGGGGGGTTTCAAACTAAAGGGGGTTGGGGGGAGGGGGCCCAAACGGAAAGTTGGGGAGGATGGGGGAAAACCTAAAAGTGGGGAGGTTGGGGGTCAAACTGAAAGGGGGCGGATGGGGTAAAACTGAAATTTGGGGGGATGGGGTAAAAATGAAAGTTGGGGAGGGGGGGGGTAAAAACCGAAAGTTGGGGGGGAGGATGGGTTTCAAAGGGAAATTTGGGGGGAGGATGGGCCCAAAATAAAAGGGTTGGGGAGGTGGGGCCCAAATAAAAATTTTTGGGGGGTGGGGTCAAAAAAAAAGGTTGGGGGGTGGGGTCAAACTGAATGTTGGGGGGATGGGGTTTCCCCCTGAATTGGGGAGGAGGGGTTTTCAAACTGAAAGTTGGGGAGGGGGGGGGGTTCAAACTAAAAAATTTGGGGGAGGGGGGTCAAATTTGGCCTGGGACCCTTTGAGAATTAAAGGGTTAATTTTAAACGGGCCCCCTTTCTCTCCCGGGTTTGGTTTGATTTTTTAATACATTTGATATCATTATATTACTTTTATGAGGATGGTCACATCCCTTTAGCCTTTTGGGTATTTTTTTCTTCCTTTTTAAAGGGGAAAAAGGATATTACATTTCCTTTTAGTTTAAACTCACCTTTTTTTCTGTCCCCCTTCCCCAATATCTTCCCCCCCTTAATCCCTCCTTCCTCGCTCCCCCGCCTTAAAAATCCTTTTTTAAAATTTTTGGGCTTTCTCCAAAACCGCTTCCGCCCGGGGCCCCGGGAACGGCCGGAGGGGACACAAAACGGGACCCCCCGCGCCGGGGCCCCAACCCGCCCCCCCGGTGAAGGGGGCGAAGGAAAACCGAGAAGGAAAAGGCGCGCAAAAACGGGGGGAAAGGCAAAAAGTAAAAAAGAGAACGGGAAAAAGGAGGAGAGAGGAAAAAAAGGAAAAGAACAAAGGGGGCCCAAAAAGGGAAAAGAAAAGAGCAACAAGGAAGAAACAAAGGCCCCAAAACCAAAAAGGGGGGAAAAGGGGAAAAAAAGGGGCCCGGGGGGGAAGAAAAAAAAAAACGCGGAAAGGGAAAAAAGCTTTCCCGGGCACAACCCCTTCGGACCCCCAAGCGACCCCAAAGGAAAGTTTCCCAAAAAAGGGCCCCAAACCCCACCCGGGAAAAGGGAAAGAAAGGAAAGAAAAAGTGGAAAACCCCCCAAAACCCCAAACTTTCAGAGGGCGAGGACCCCTGGGGAAGTTGGCCCCCTTTTTTCCCTCCTTATCCGATTAATTTTTCCAATCAAAAGGGGGGTTTCCCCCAATACCCCCTCCCCTCTACCCTCCCCGACCCGAAGCTCCTTTTTCCCTAAAAAACAACCAGGTGGCGGGGCCCCTTTTCCCGGGGGCCACTACCTGGCCTTTTTCCCTTCACCCCAATTTGTATAATGTCTTTTTTGGTTTTTCCCTGGGCCAATTTCGAACCCGGTTTTTCGGAAGGGGGGGGGGGGGTTTAGGGGGGTTTGGTGGGGGGGTTTTGTTTGGGGTTTGGGGTTTAAATGCCAAAAAAAAGCCTTCCTTGTTTTGGTCCCCTTTTGCGGAAGGGGATTTGGGGTTGGGGTTTGGGGGTGGGGGGGGTTTGGGGGTTAAAAGGGGTGGGGGCCCAGCAACAGTTTTTGGCAAACTTTTTTGTTTTTACGGGAGAGGAAGGGGGGAAAAAGGCGGGGAAAAAAAAGGGACGGGGGCAAAAAAGGCGAAAAGGGGCCCCGGGGAAGGGAAAAGGAGAGGAAAAGGGCCCGGGGAGCCGGGGCGGAGCAAAAAAGGGGGGGCCCCCAAGGGGGCCCCCCGGAGGCGAAAGGCCGGAAAAAAGGGGGAAAAGGAGGGGGCCCCCCCAACGCCCCACCCCCCCCCCCCCACCCCCAACCCCCAACCCCCCCCACCCCGGGGGGGACCAAGGGACCCCGGTGGCCCCGGGGGCCCGGCCGAAAAAAAGCAAAAATTTTTAAAACCAAGGGGTAGGCGCCCCCAAAAACCCCCAAACAACCCCCCCGCCCCCCTCCTCTCCCCAACCTTTCCACCCCCCCCCAAACCCCCAACCCCCCCACCTCTCTTCCATCTTCTAGTAATTGGGGGAATGTCTGTGAAGTTTTTGAAAAAATTTATTCACCACTCCCTTCGGGGGGAAATTTGGTCCTCAAGTCATCCCCCTTCGGGTTCCAAAGCTTCTTCAAGGACGGGGAACATTTAGACCACAAAAACCACAAAACACCCACACACCCACAAAACAAAAACCCCACACACACAACAAACACCCCCCCCTGTTTTTGAGCCCATATCTCCTTTTCTTCAGATGATCACTCCTTCCCCCGATGGTTTTTAGAAAGGGATTATGTTATGGAAGACGCCGTCACACTTACACTCACTCACACACACACACGCGCAGGCACACACACACACACACACACACACACACACAAATCAAATCAAATTGCATTTGTCACATACATGTGTTTAGCATATTTAATTGCGGGTGTAGAGAAATGCTTGTGCTTCTAGCTCCGACAGTGCAGTAATATCTAACAAGTAATATTGATCAGCTCCTTTAATTACGTATTATCTTGAACTTAAATTATTTCCCCATGTAGATCGTGATGATACACACACACACTGTCACACACACTTACGTCCCCATGTAGATCCTGTTTAACATGGAGATGATACAGCGATAAGGTATTAGATAAGGCTTGACCCATATCTGAAAGTGCCTGATTAGAAGTGATGGGTATTTGATGTGTAGTCAAGTCCATATAGATTGATGTAATGTAAAGATAGCATCTATCTTTTGTCAAGTTTTAACCATGAAATTCCATCAGAAGTGTCAGTCTACTCAGTAAAAGTTTTATCTGGAATCATTCAGCCACCTTTTACTACTCTACATATTCCCACAGAGAGAGAGAGAGAGAGAGAGAGAGAGAGAGAGAGAGAGAGAGAGTGATGTAGTGTTTTAGTATTGTTGAAAATGTAAAATATTCTTTGTTTAATTCTCTTCAGGATTTGACCCTGTTAACAGTATTTCCTACTGTAGCACATCGGTATTTCTCTGACTATTACATAAGCCTAGACATACACAGACACACACACACCACTGTGAATGGTTATAGTACTCCTCAAGCACTGAATCATTATATAGGTCAAGAAACATTTACACCATCAATGAAAATTTGACGAAATGCCCTTTAAAAAAATAAAAAATATTAATGGTGATATTTAGGGAACGCCACCTTTTGGGGTAAGCGAATAAGACGATAACGAAAAATTAAACGAAACTTTTTATCTCTCGTATCTCTCTCTTTCTTTTATATATCTTCTTCATCTTTTATCTCTCCCCGCTCTTTTTCTAGCCGTGTTGTGTGTGTTTGTTTTCTTTTGCATTTCCCTTTGGGCTATGTGTGTGTGTTTTTGTGTGGGGTGTGTGTGGGTTGGGGTCTGGCTGTTGTCGTTGTTCGTCTGTTGTCTGTTCTGTCGTCTGTCGTCTGTGGGTTGGCCCGTCTGTTGTCTGTGTTGGGGGGGTTGTCTGTTTTGGATTGCGTGTGTGTCCTCCCCTATAGGTGGAACCAGCTGGACCTGTCCATAGTGTTGTTGTCAGTGATGGGTATCACTCTGGAGGAGATTGACTACAATGCTTCTCTACCCATCAACCCTACCATCATCAGAATCATGAGGGTGCTACGGATAGCACGAGGTACAAACACACACATACATGCAAGTACGCACACACACACACACACACACACACACACACACACACACACACACACACACCCTTCCCTTTTCACCTCCATACTAACGGAAGAAAGCTAATGCCGACATTCCGTATTCTACTATACATTCTATTTCTCCCATCATCATCATCATAAGCCTCCTCCCTTCTCCTCTCTCACACACACACGCACGCACACACACACACACATACACACAGGCCACTTAATGCCTCACTGTGAAAGAACAGATAATGATACAACTAGTATTTAAAGCTTCGGCACTCGCCACTCAACCCTTCACCCGCTACAATACCGCTCTGGGACCGCAGAACGACCACCTGGGAAATATATGGTAATTACAGTCCAGTCAATATGTGGAATTACGAGCGGTTGTGTTATCTGATTGGAAGGCTACGCTTATGCAGCTCGAGTCCAGAGGGTCTTTTTCTGTGTGAATGCTACAGTAACTAGTGTAGCTGACTGATTAGATAGAAGTAGGGAGAGGATTCCAAAGAGGGCTGTTTTAAATTCTAAAGGTGCTGTTTTAAAGAGGAAGACAAAACATCACCAATGGCAATTTTAGCTCAAAACACTTCTATGGAATTTGCCATTTTATTATTTTATCTGTCACAAAGGGCACAAACCTATGCTTTAGCCATCCCAATATTAAAGAACTGGGTTATACAGGAGTCCCAGGGAGGAGAGAAGGGGGGAGGAGGGGGAGAAGGAGGGAGGAGAGGGAGAGAAGGGGGGAAAAGAGGGGAGGAGGGAAGGAGGGGGAGAAGAAGGGAGGAGGGGGGAGAAGAGGGGAGGAGGGGAGAGAAGGTGGAATAGAGGGGAGGAGGGGAGAGAAAGGGGAGGGAGAGAGAAGAAGAGGAATGGGATAGAAGGCGAGGAGAGGGAGAGAAGAAGGGAGGAGGGGAGAGAAGGGGAGGACAGGGGCTACATGGAGGAGAGGGAGAGAAGTGGAGACTTTCTAGTGCTTGTTAATGATGTTTCAGGGTAAGAAGGCAAACGTTGCTTCTTTCCCCGGGACAGGCTTGTTCTCTCAGCCGTTACTGTTAAAATGGTACAATGTTGCCCCCGGGTTCTTTTTTTGTGACATGGCATTTTCCTTCTGCACCAGAAATTGGACCGTTGGGAATTGTATAAAATACCTATCATTCTATTCCCACTTCTCAATTAAATTAAATTAAATTCAAGGGGCTTTATTGGCATGGGAAACATATGTTAACATTGCCAAAGCAAGTGAAATGGATAAACAAAATATGAACAGTAAACATTACACTCAGAAGTTCCAAAAGAATAAAGACATTTCAAATGTCATATTATTTCTATATACAGTGTTGTAACGATGTGCAAATAGTTAAAGTACAAAAGGGAAAATAAATAAACATAAATATGGGTTGTATTTACAATGGTGTTTGTTCTTCACTTGTTGTCCTTTTCTTGTGGCAACAGGTCCCAAATATTGCTGCTGTGATTGCACACTGTGGTATTTCACCCAATAGATATCAAAATTGGATTTGTTTTCAAATTCTTTGTGGGTCTGTGTAATCTGAGGGAAATATGTGTCTCTAATATGGTCATACATTTGGCAGGAGGTTAGGAAGTGCAGCTCAGTTTCCACCTTATTTTGTGGCCAGGTCTGCCTACGGTGACCTTTCTCAACAGCAAGGCTATGCTCACTGATTCTGTACATTGTCAAAGCTTTCCTTAATATTGGGTCAGTCACAGTGGTCAGGTATTCTGCCACTGTGTACTCTCTGTTTAGGGCCAAATAGCATTCTAGTTTGCTCAGATTTTTTGTTCATTCTTTCCATGTGTCAAGTAATTATCTTTTAGTTTTTTCATGATTTGTTTGGGTTTAATTGTGTTGCTGTCCTGTTGCTGCAGACTGTTCTAGTGCCCTCGCCAATTCATTGATATATATGTTGAAGTGGGTGGGGCTTAAGCTGCATCCCTGTCTCACCCCATGGCCCTGTGGAAAGAAATGTGTGTTTATTTTGCCAATTTTAACCGCCCACTTGTTGTTTGTGTACATGGATTTTATAATGTTGTATGTTTTTTCCCTCAACACCACTTTCCATCAATTTGTATAGCAGACCCTTATTCCAAATTGAGTCAAAAGCTTTTTTGAAGTCACAAAGCATGAGAAGACTTTGCCTTTGTTTTGGATTATTTGTTTGTCAATTAGGGTGTGCAGGGTGCATACGTGGTCTGTCGTACCGTCATCTTCCATCTCTCTTTTCTCACTACTGTGTCTGTTCTCTAACAATGTTTCCCTTTTCCTCTCTTTCTACGCTTTCTATCTGTTCCTCTTCCTTCCCCCCTCTCTCTTTCTCTCTCGCTCTCGGTCTCTCTCTTTCTCTCTCTCGGTCTCTCTCTCTCGCTCTCTCTTTCGCTCTCTCTCGGTCTCTCTGTCTGTTTCTGTCTCTCTCTCTCTTTCTCTCTGTCTCTCTGTTTCTGTCTGTCTCTCTCTGTCTCACTCTCTCTGTCTATCCAGTTCTCAAGCTGTTGAAGATGGCTACAGGAATGAGAGCTCTTCTAGACACAGTGGTGCAGGCTCTACCTCAGGTGTGTATCCACTCAATTACACACACACACACACACACACACACACACACACACACACACACACACACACATCTCTGTGCCCTATCCTTTATCCCTACCACTGATAGGGGTTCATTCTGAATAGGGGAGAGTGGTGGAGGAGCACTGTCAATATCTCTGCCACTGACTTTTATTCTGCATCACAAATGGCACCCTGTTCCCTATGTAGTGCCCTACTACCCATAGGGTGCTGGTCATAAGTAGTGCACTACATAGGATTAGGGTGCAGTTTTGGACAAAGTCAAGGTAAAAGTGGAGCTGTGATAAATGATGCCCTCCTCTCCTATTTTGATGACTTTCTGACACCGCTAATGTTTATGAGAATGAGACATCTTATCTCAAGTATTCATTTTCATTTTTATTCTCCATTGACTTTGAGGCCAAAATCAATTGGATTGTATAAGTTGTGAAACTTTGATCTATTTTCGGAGGAGAATGGCATTTTATATTACATTCCTTTGAGAGTAAATATCTCCCACTAGTCGGTATATTCTGTTAATGTACACAGGCTTAGAGACGCATTTGACTTGATGCCTTGGGGTGTTTTACCATATTTGCTTTGTATCTCCTTGGATAGCAACACACACACACAGATACACATATGCAATCGGGTATGCACGCACGCACACACACTCACACACACACACAAACACACAAACACACAGGATAATCTCCCTGCATTCTCCCTGGCTTCTTTTGATATTTTCTTTCAGCCATTCTCTCCCTGACAGGCCTCATTGGTTTTCCGTTGTTATTGTTGGGAGGGTTGTTTCGGTTCAGGACCATTTCTGCTAGTGTTACAAGCCAAATCTCCCAAATAACCATTAGTAAGGTCCTTAGGGGTGGCAGTGATGGCTGGTTATACCTCACAATGGCTGCCTTGTCATGTCAGGCTGGTTATACCTCATAATGGCTGCCTTGTCATGTCAGGCTGGTTATACCTCATAATGGCTGCCTTGTCAGGCTGGTTATACCTCATAATGGCTGCCTTGTAATGTCAGGCTGCTTATACCTCATAATGGCTGCCTTGTCATGTCAGGCTGGTTATACCTCATAATGGCTGCCTTGTCAGGCTGGTTATACCTCATAATGGCTGCCTTGTAATGTCAGGCTGCTTATACCTCATAATGGCTGCCTTGTCATGTCAGGCTGGTTATACCTCATAATGTCTGCCTTGTCAGGCTGGTTATACCTCATAATGGCTGCCTTGTCATGTCAGGCTGGTTATACCTCATAATGCCTGCCTTGTCATGTCAGGTTGCTTATACCTCATAATGGCTGCCTTGTCATGTCAGGCTGGTTATACCTCATAATGGCTGCCTTGTCATGTCAGGCTGGTTATACCTCATAATGGCTGCCTTGTCAGGCTGGTTATATCTCATGTTCAAGGTTGCCACTGTGCCTTCAACCAGTGATTTGACTCAGTCCACTCAGAGCTGCTACATTGTGTTTCACTCCTTGCTGTGGGGGTTGGATACCTTAGCATTCACATCCATGTCAGTGGGTTTTTTAGATTAAATGTGTCTACTTTGATCAATAGGAAAAGTATAACTGTCCTTATTGAGCACGGATTGGCTGAATTTCTCCCAAAGCAGGAAGCATGACAACCTGTATTGACTGCTGATTGGTTGACTGTCTGTCAGGTGGGGAACCTGGGCCTGCTGTTCATGTTGCTGTTCTTCATCTACGCTGCCCTGGGGGTGGAACTGTTTGGAGAGCTGGGTGAGTCCCTTTTAATAATACCTCAACATTTACCCTAGAAATAGTATTGTTAGGAGATCTGGCAAGACCTGGTCAGTCAATTACTAATATACTAATACTCTTAGTAAAAGTATTTATCTTCAACTCGCAATCTGTGGATTCTATTCGATTAGATAGATTAAAATTGTATGTTAAACATCACAGCATAGTTGAAAGATATATGGCGCGTAGAAATCCGAACAGGGTGGCCAGTAGAGATAGGTGGGATGGGCTGAGGGAAGCTGAGGGTTGGGATGTGGAATTGGAGACAAGTGGGAGTGGAGTTGCTGGGCGGGGGAAAGAATGACGGTCAAAGATAAAGGTTTCCTTTCTCTTTCTCTTTTTTGTCTTTTGTTCATTTTGTTGGTTGTTGGTGCATTGGGGGACAGGGGCTTGGGGGGGACAGGGGCTTGGGGGGGACGGGGGTCTTGGGGGGGCGGGGGAATGGAATTATTTTATTTTTCTTGGGGGGGGGTTCGGATGTTTGAGGGGCAGCTCTTGGGGATCTGTGGGGGGGATATTGGAGGGCTGGTGGCCTGGCGGTTGGGAGCTTGGGCTGGTGGCTGATGGGTTGCTGGTTCGGGTCCCCGTTTTTGACCTTGTGGGAGATCTGTCGACGTGCCCTTGAGCAGGGCGTTGACCCTGGTTGCTTCTGTGTGTCGCTCTGGATGGGAGTCTGTTAGATGAATAATGTGATGTAGATGTTGAGCGGCTTCACTGCCAGTAGATTGTATGTTTTAATATTTTAAAAATATATAAATATTAATAATAATAATGAAAACAGCTAAGAGATAATAGAAAATGTACTGTACTGAACAAAAACTTCTCATACTTGATAAAAAAGCTAAATGCATAACCAAAATGTGCTGTACTGCAGTGGCGATTTTAGCATGTAAGTCTTGGTGGGGCAAACTCCCCCCCAAAAAATGTTATGCATGCCAGAAAAGCCACTACACAACACAATACTAAACAATACATTAATTGCACTATAACAGTGACAAACGGTGCCTACAAACTGGTAGGGCCTACATAAAGCTGTCCCAACAGCAGAGCTTACTTTTCAGCATCATAGAGGGAATCCTTACCGCCGCTACACCTGGCTATCAGAGGAGCCTTGTCTGGCAGTGAAACTGTTCATTCAGCCTCATTTACTGACTTTTTAAAAAAACATAGATGATATGGCTGACTTGCTTAAACAAATGTGGTTTCTACTATGTACAAACTATGGCATAAGGGGACGACGAACGGATAAGAGGCAATCTGTAATTTTGATTAAGACATTAATAAGCGAGCTAGGACGGACGTAGTCAATCTAACTATTTGTTCAGCACTTTTGAAATGTACAGCGACAGAATTCAGAACATTGGCCGTTCTTACTGTATTCTCCCTGTACACCAAGTCAGAACAGTAGGATAAATACAGGGGGCATATAAGCAGACAATGAGAGCTCTTACAATATTCAATTATTACATTTCTCTAAAACAGGCTATAGGCTACATGTGCACCACCAAGTCAGGACTTGTAAGGGGGAAAGGGACCAAATTATTAGGGTGAGGCACATGGGCTACTAACAGCTTACTACACAACATACACTTAGTATTACTTTCTTATCTACAGTATACATATATCCCTGGCATATTACATCATTTATGCAGCAGGATACAATTCATTTTTGGACTCACCTTGTTGTGCTATGCTCACTTGAACAGGAAGGTGGACATTTTGTCATTCAACTTTGTCATCAAAGTCAAAGTCTGGCATTCTCTGGATTTATGGTGCTTTCAAGACAACAAGGTTGAATCATGACGTCAGTGATCTTCAGGTCGGAGACTGTAAGTCGCTCTGGATGAGAGCGTCTGCTAAATGACTTAAATGTAATGTAAATGTAGAAAGAGGCTCGAGTTCCCGGCTTGGCATTCCGAGTTGGATGACAGTTAAAAACGTATTTTCCCAGTCGGAGCTCGTTTTTTTCAGTTCCCAGTTTCTTGAACTCACTGAAGTCTCAGATTTCCCAGTTCCGAGTTTCCAGTTGTTTTGAACGAGGCAGAAGTCATGCTGGATTGACAGCATGGCCAATGTATTCAACCTTTTCTGGCCCATGGCATGTGAATGGTTATCCTTTTAAGTTTGTAAAAGAGACCCTTAAACCCAGACTTGGACCACACACACACTCCACTGAATAGAAGGCGAGTGATTGCTTTGCAATGCTTGCAGTTAGCCATTGATTCCTTCCAAACCACTCATTGTTGAATTTGCAATTTCCAACTTGTTGTGTAATGGTTATGTCCAATTGCCGATGAGCACCGATACATTTTATCTATAATTTCTCTTCATATGACAAGGATTGAAAAGGATTTGGCAGTAGATTGTCAACTTGATTCATGATGATGACTGCTTGTCTAGCTTGCTAGATAAGATTTTGAAAGTATGATGTTGACATGATCAGTCGAATCAAACTATGGTAGATATAACGTGATTTGACTTCATTTTATCTGTGGCCAATGACCTTGAGCCTTCTTGGATGGGTACTTCAAATGTAAATCTATGGTAGCTCTCCCCGTAGATTTTGCGGTGAGGTAGTGTCCCCATGAGTGACAGAACACTGAGCCAATCACGGCGCAGCTAGAGAACATTACCAACCCCTACGCTCCATATTTTCCGCTGGCTGACCCACCACCACAGAAAGCACTGAGCTAGGCAGAAACACCTGCATTTTGGAGCTGCCTTAATCAAGAAAGCAAAAAAGAGACCATGTTTGTATGCGGCTTTATTAAATAAAATATTTTTTGGTTTACATTGTTCGTAAACTGATATGTGGCACGTATTAATGCCAAAATATCATGCAAAACAGGTAACAACAAAAATAATACCTGAATGAATGACAGATCACCACATTAAAAAGCTAAATGCATAACCAAAATGTACTGTACTGAACAAAAACGTTTCATACTTATACCCTTATCTTTGGGCCAAAACAAATAGTCATTAAAATATTACAGTGAACTGTCAGAAATATGTAAACAAGTTTTATGTTTATTCATATTTTGATGAATGGTAAACAGTGATAAATTGATCTCTTCTCCCACCTTTCTCTACATCTCTTCTCCCTTCACACTCTGTCTCTCTCTCTCTCTCTCTCTCTTTCTCTCTCTCTCTCTCTCTCTCTCTCTCTCTCTCTCTTTCTCCTCCCACCTCTCACTGTTTCTCCCTCCCTCCTTCCCTCCCTCCCCTCCATCTCTCAGTGTGCAATGCTGACTACCCATGTGAGGGCATGAGTCGGCATGCCACCTTCGAGAACTTCGGCATGGCCTTCCTCACCCTCTTCCAGGTCTCCACCGGAGACAACTGGAATGGCATCATGAAGGTACACAAAATACTCATTCAACGTATCTGGTAAAATAAGGGTACAAATAATGAAAAATGGTGTAGGCCATTTATGACTTTAAACACTAGAGAATCATGGGAAATGCAGAGAGAGAGAGAGAGAGAGAGAGAGAGAGAGAGTATGTGTAGTCCTTTAGTTTAACAGATTCTCTTGTTCCATAGTAGCATAGAGGTGACTGAAATGGCACAGATCTCTAACCGACAGAGACGACTAGATAATGAAGTACTTATTCACAGATCTCTAACCGACAGAGACGACTAGCTAATGAAGTACTTATTCACAGATCTCTAACCGACAGAGACGACTAGCTAATGAAGTACTTATTCACAGATCTCTAACCGACAGAGACGACTAGCTAATGAAGTACTTATTCACAGATCTCTAACCGACAGAGACGACTAGCTAATGAAGTACTTATTCACAGATCTCTAACCGACAGAGACGACTAGCTAATGAAGTACTTATTCACAGATCTCTAACCGACAGAGACGACTAGATAATGAAGTACTTATTCACAGATCTCTAACCGACAGAGCCGACTAGATAATGAAGTACTTATTCACAGATCTCTAACCGACAGAGCGACTAGCTAATTAAGTACTCTGTAGCTCAATTGGTAGAGCATGGCGCTTGTAACGCCAGGGTAGTGGGTTCAATCCCCGGGACCACCCATACGTAAAATGTATGCACACATGACTGTAAGTCGCTTTGGATAAAAGCATCAGCTAAATGGCATATTATTATTATATTATACTTATTCACAGATCTCTAACTGACAGAGACGACTAGCTAATGAAGTACTTATTCACAGATCTCTAACCGACAGAGCCGACTAGCTAATTAAGTACTTATTCACAGATCTTTAACCGACAGAGACGACTAGCTAATGAAGTACTTATTCACAGATCTCTAACCGACAGAGACGACTAGCTAATGAAGTACTTATTCACAGATCTCTAACCGACAGAGACGACTAGATAATGAAGTACTTATTCACAGATCTCTAACCAACAGAGACGACTAGATAATGAAGTACTTATTCACAGATCTCTAACCGACAGAGCGACTAGCTAATGAAGTACTCTGTAGCTCAATTGGTAGAGCATGGCGCTTGTAACGCCAGGGTAGTGGGTTCAATCCCCGGGACCACCCATACGTAAAATGTATGCACACATGACTGTAAGTCGCTTTGGATAAAAGCGTCTGCTAAATGGCATATTATTATTATATTATACTTATTCACAGATCTCTAACTGACAGAGACGACTAGCTAATGAAGTACTTATTCACAGATCTCTAAACGACAGAGACGACTAGCTAATTAAGTACTTATTCACAGATCTCTAACCGACAGAGACGACTAGCTAATGAAGTACTTATTCACAGATCTCTAACCGACAGAGACGACTAGCTAATGAAGTACTTATTCACAGATCTCTAACCGACAGAGACGATTAGCTAATTAAGTACTTATTCACAGATCTCTAACCGACAGAGACGACTAGCTAATGAAGTACTTATTCATAGATCTCTAACCAACAGAGACGACTAGCTAATGAAGTACTTATTCACAGATCTCTAACCAACAGAGACGACTAGATAATGAAGTACTTATTCACAGATCTCTAACCGACAGAGACGACTAGCTAATGAAGTACTTATTCACAGATCTCTAACCGACAGAGACGATTAGCTAATGAAGTACTTATTCACAGATCTCTAACCGACAGAGACGACTAGCTAATGAAGTACTTATTCACAGATCTCTAACCGACAGAGACGATTAGCTAATGAAGTACTTATTCACAGATCTCTAACCGTCAGAGACGACTAGATAATGAAGTACTTATTCACAGATCTCTAACCGACAGAGACGACTAGCTAATGAAGTACTTATTCACAGATCTCTAACCGACAGAGACGACTAGCTAATGAAGTACGTATTCATAGATCTCTAACCAACAGAGACAACTAGCTAATGAAGTACTTATTCACAGATCTCTAACCGTCAGAGACGACTAGATAATGAAGTACTTATTCACAGATCTCTAACCGACAGAGACGACTAGCTAATGAAGTACTTATTCACAGATCTCTAACCGACAGAGACGACTAGCTAATGAAGTACTTATTCACAGATCTCTAACCGACAGAGCCGACTAGATAATGAAGTACTTATTCACAGATCTCTAACCGACAGAGCGACTAGCTAATTAAGTACTCTGTAGCTCAATTGGTAGAGCATGGCGCTTGTAACGCCAGGGTAGTGGGTTCAATCCCCGGGACAACCCATACGTAAAATGTATGCACACATGACTGTAAGTCGCTTTGGATAAAAGCATCAGCTAAATGGCATATTATTATTATATTATACTTATTCACTGATCTCTAACTGACAGAGACGACTAGCTAATGAAGTACTTATTCACAGATCTCTAACCGACAGAGCCGACTAGCTAATTAAGTACTTATTCACAGATCTTTAACCGACAGAGACGACTAGCTAATGAAGTACTTATTCACAGATCTCTAACCGACAGAGACGACTAGCTAATGAAGTACTTATTCACAGATCTCTAACCGACAGAGACGACTAGATAATGAAGTACTTATTCACAGATCTCTAACCAACAGAGACGACTAGATAATGAAGTACTTATTCACAGATCTCTAACCGACAGAGCGACTAGCTAATGAAGTACTCTGTAGCTCAATTGGTAGAGCATGGCGCTTGTAACGCCAGGGTAGTGGGTTCAATCCCCGGGACCACCCATACGTAAAATGTATGCACACATGACTGTAAGTCGCTTTGGATAAAAGCGTCTGCTAAATGGCATATTATTATTATATTATACTTATTCACAGATCTCTAACCGACAGAGACGACTAGCTAATGAAGTACTTATTCACAGATCTCTAAACGACAGAGACGACTAGCTAATTAAGTACTTATTCACAGATCTCTAACCGACAGAGACGACTAGCTAATGAAGTACTTATTCACAGATCTCTAACCGACAGAGACGATTAGCTAATGAAGTACTTATTCACAGATCTCTAACCGACAGAGACGATTAGCTAATTAAGTACTTATTCACAGATCTCTAACCGACAGAGACGACTAGCTAATGAAGTACTTATTCATAGATCTCTAACCAACAGAGACGACTAGCTAATGAAGTACTTATTCACAGATCTCTAACCGACAGAGACGACTAGATAATGAAGTACTTATTCACAGATCTCTAACCGACAGAGACGACTAGCTAATGAAGTACTTATTCACAGATCTCTAACCGACAGAGACGATTAGCTAATGAAGTACTTATTCACAGATCTCTAACCGTCAGAGACGACTAGCTAATGAAGTACTTATTCACAGATCTCTAACCGACAGAGACGATTAGCTAATGAAGTACTTATTCACAGATCTCTAACCGTCAGAGACGACTAGATAATGAAGTACTTATTCACAGATCTCTAACCGACAGAGACGACTAGCTAATGAAGTACTTATTCACAGATCTCTAACCGACAGAGACGACTAGCTAATGAAGTACGTATTCATAGATCTCTAGCCAACAGAGACAACTAGCTAATGAAGTACTTATTCACAGATCTCTAACCGTCAGAGACGACTAGATAATGAAGTACTTATTCACAGATCTCTAACCGACAGAGACGACTAGCTAATGAAGTACTTTTTCACAGATCTCTAACCGTCAGAGACGATTAGCTAATGAAGTACTTATTCACAGATCTCTAACCGACAGAGACGACTAGCTAATGAAGTACTTATTCACAGATCTCTAACCAACAGAGACGACTAGCTAATGAAGTACTTATTCACAGATCTCTAACCGTCAGAGACGACTAGATAATGAAGTACTTACATTAACATTTACATTTTAGTCATTTAGCAGACGCTCTTATCCAGAGCGACTTACAGTTAGTGAATACATATTTTTTTTATACTGGCCCCCTGTGGGAATCGAACCCACAACCCTGGCGTTGCAAACGCCATGCTCTATCAACTGAGCTACATCCCTGCCGGCCATTCCCTCCCCTACCATGGACGACGCTGGGCCAATTGTGCGCCGCTCATGAGTCTCCCGGTCGCGGCCGGCGGCGACAGAGCCTGGATTCGAACCAGGATCTCCAGTGTCGATGCAGTGCCTTAGACCACTGCGCCACTTATTCACAGATCTCTAACCGACAGAGCCGACTAGCTAATTAAGTACTTATTCACAGGGAGCTGATAATACTTCATAACTTCGATTTCTTTCTTTCTTTCTATCTGTTTCTTTTTTTCCTTTTTTCTGTCTCTCCTCCAGGACACTCTGCGTGAGTGCCCCCCAGGTCCCAGTGACTACCCGTGCCACGCTGGACTCCAGTTCATCTCTCCCATGTACTTTGTCTCCTTCGTCCTCACCGCCCAGTTCGTACTCATCAATGTGGTGGTGGCCGTGCTCATGAAGGTATGGGACACACACACACAGCGCAGACCAGTCCGTCCTCATAAAACACACACACACTGACACACACACACCACTGTGCAATGCCATGGAACTGAATGTCTAAACGTAGAACAAGATTCCAAATATTACTGAAAGGGTTCATATAATGCTCAAAGACGCTAAGATGGCGTCCGGTGTAGAAGTTGGCCAAACTCTCTATGGCTCTGGGTATGAGGGGTTGACAGCAGAACATAAGAGCCAATTACAATGTCACAGTTGGATAACTAAAGTCATATTAACTGTTTTCCTTGAAGCACCTTGACGACTCAAACAAAGAGGCCCAGGAGGATGCTGAGATGGATGCAGAGATTGAGCTGGAGCTTGCCCAGGGACAACTCCAACTACCCACCTGCTGCATGGGGGTGCTGGGCACTGGGCTAGTCGTGGCTGGGGCCTCTGGAGCTCCTGGATGTAGGGGTGATTTGATTCGATTTGTAAAATTAGTATTAATATGATTTATTGATTTAATCTACCTGCCCAGGGACTACTAGATAGCTGGCTAAATCTGCTATATTTACATCAATGTTGATTGATGTGCATTATCTCCGTCAAATAAATGTAACAAATTAAATTAAACAATTTGACAATTTTAAAACACAACTCAACCAATCATGTGGATACAATGCATTTCAAATCATGAATGATAACACAAACATTGTTTACTATTTATTTCCATTGTGGTCTTCAGGTGGAGGGTTGGAAGGAGGGACCAGGCAGGGTCAAGGGGTGGGGGTGATGACAGGGGCCGTAAGGGATCACAGTGGAGTGACCACTCCCCAAAGAGGAGGAGAAAGACATGAGGGACACAGACGGCATCACAGACGGAAACTGTACTCACCTGCACAGGTTTGTGCACAGGTTAGTATACTGGGATTCTGTTCTATTCCATTTTACAGTGGTGGAAAAAATGCCCAATTTTTATGCTTGAGTAAAAGTATAGATACGTTAATAGAAAGTTACTCAATTAAAAGTGAAAGTCAGCCAGTAAAATAATACTTGAGTAAAAGTCTACAAGTATTTGGTTTTAAATATACTTAAGTATCAAAAGTAAATGTAATTGCTAAAATATACTTAAGTATCAAAAGTAAAAGTAAAAATATAAATCATTTAAAATTCCTTATATTAAGCAAACCAGACGGCACCATTTTCTTGTTTTTTAATTTATGGATAGCCAGGGGCACACTCCAACACTCAGACATTGTTTACGAAATATGCATTTGTGTTTAGTGAGTCCGCCAGACCAGCTGCAGTAAGGATGACCACGTGTTCTCTTGCTAAATGTTTGAATTGGACCATTTTCCTGTCCTGCTAAGCATTCAAAATGTAATGAGTACTTTTGGTTGTCAGGGAACATTTATGGAGTACAAAGTACACTATTGTCTTTAGGAATGTAGTGAAGTAAAAGTAAAAGTTGTCAAAAATATAAATAGTAAAGTAAAGTACAGATACCCTTTCAAGTATTTTTACTTAAGTACTTTACACCACTGCTATTTTATTAGGTTTTACTCTACTACACTCTACTCTACTCTGCTCTACTTTACTGTAATCTAATCTGCTCTAATTTACTCTACTGTATTCTAATCTAGTCTACTCTACTTTACTGTAATCTAATATAATCTACTATACTATACTATACTTTACTCTACTCTACTCTACTATGCTATACTCTACTCTACTCTACTATACTATACTCTACTCTACTTTACTCTATCTACAACTACAGAAGTGTACATCTATAGATATGTTCCATCTGAGTCTGCTTACTAGTTGCATACAGTATACACAAGCACACACCTGTACCTCAACACACTGCCAATAATAGTGCACTCCAAACACACACATCACCCCTCCCCCTCTCCTCCTCTTTCCTCTGTCTAAACATAACGATGCAGCCAGTCTCTCTCTCTCTCTTTGTGATTGCAGGTACATTTCAAACACAGGACCATCAGCAAGTCCAATCTAGTCTTGATATCAGTGTTAGCGATGTAATTAAAGCACCTAGAGACAAGAACACACATGCTTATTTATAGAACTAAAGCCTGCCTGAGCAAAATGTAATTTACTAAGCCTGAAGAGAGAGGAGTTGAGGGAGGGAGGGAGGGAGGGAGAGAGAGAGAGAACACCAAATTAATCAATGAAGGTGGAAAAGAGGTGGGCAAGAGAAAATGATTGCATTTGGAAGATGCGAGATGGTGAGAAGGAAAAAATAACAAAATCCAATGTCATTTGCCACATGCGCCGAATACAACAGGTCTAGACCTTACAGTGAAATGCTTACTTACAGGCCCTTCACCAACAATGCAGTTTTAAGAAATAAAAGTGTTAAGTAAAAAAAGATCATAAAAAAAATAACAAATAATTGAAGAGCAGCAGTAAAATAACAGTAGCGAGGCTATATACAGGGGGTACCGCTACAGAGTCAATGTGCGGGGGCACAGGTTAATCGAGGTAATTGAGGTAATATGTACATGTAGGTAGAGGTAAAGTGACTATGCATAGATAATAAACAGAGAGTAGCAGCAGCGTAAAAGAGTGTGGGGGGGACAATGCAAATAGTCCGGATAGCCATTTGATTAGCTGTTCAGGAGTCTTATGGCTTGGGGGTAGAAGTTGTTAAGAAGCCTTTTGGACCTAAACTTGGCGCTCCGGTACCGCTTGCCATGCGGTAACAGAGAGAACAGTCTATGACTAGGGTGGCAGGAGTCTTTGACAATTTTTAGGGCCTTCCTCTGACATCGCCTGGTATAGAGGTCCTGGATGGCAGGAAGCTTGGCCCCAGTGATGTACCGGGCTGTACGCACTACCCTCTGTAGTGCCTTGCGGTCGGAGGCCGAGCAGTTGCCATACCAGTCAGGATGCTCTTGATGGTGCAGCTGTATAACTTTTTGAGGATCTGACCCATGCCAAATCTTTTCAGTCTCCTGAGGGGGAATAGGCTTTGTCGTGCCCTCTTCACGACTGTCTTGGTGTGTTTGGACCATGATAGTTTGTTGGTGATGTGGACACCAAGGAACTTGAAGCTCTCAACGCGCTCCGCTACAGCCCCGTCGATGAGAATGGGGGCGTGCTCAGTCCTCTTCTTTTTCCTGTAGTCCACAATCATCTCCTTTGTCTTGATCACGTTGAGGGAGAGGTTGTTATCCTGGCACCACACGGCCAGGTCTCTGACCTCCTCCCAATAGGCTGTCTCATCGTTGTTGGTGATCAGGCCTACCACTGTTGTGTCGTCGGCAACTTAATGATGGTGTTGGAGTCGTGCCTGGCCATGGGTGAACAGAGAGTACAGGAGGGGACTGAGCACGCACCCCTGAGGAGCCCTCGTGTTGAGGATCATCGTGGCAGATGTGTTGTTACCTACCCTTACCACCTGGGGGCGGCCCGTCAGGAAGTCCAGGATCCAGTTGCAGAGGGAGGTGTTTAGTCCCAGGGTCCTTAACTTAGTGATGAGCTTTGAGGGCACTATGGTGTTTTGAACGCTGAGCTGTAGTCAATGAATAGCATTCTCACGTAGGTGTTCCTTTTGTCCAGGTGGAAAAGGGCAGTGTTGGAGTGCAATAGAGATTGCATTATCTGTGGATCTGTTGGGGCGATATGCAAATTGGAGTGCGTCTAAGGTTTCTGGGATAATGGCGTTGATTTGAGTAATTTAGGCAGGTTAACTTAGTGTTCTTGGGCACAGGGACTATGGTGGTCTGCTTGAAACATGTTGGTATTACAGACTCAGTCAGGGACATGTTGAAAATGTCAGTGAAGACACTTGCCAATTGGTCAGCGCATGCTCAGAGCACACATCCTGGTAATCCGTCTGGCCCTGCGGCCTTGTGAATGTTGACCTGTTTAAAAGTCTTACTCACATCAGCTACGGAGAGCGTGATCACACGTTCGTCCGGAACAGCTGATGCTCTCATGCATACTTCAGTGTCGCCTCAAGGCAAGCATAAAAGTAATTTAGATCGTCTGGTAGGCTCATGTCACTGGGCAGCTCGCGGCTGTGCTTCCCTTTGTAGTCTGTAATAGTTTGCAAGCCCTGCCACATCCGACGAGCATCGGAGCCGGTGTAGTACGATTCAATCTTAGTCCTGTATTGATGCTTTGCCTGTTTGATGGTTCGTCGGAAGGCAAAGCAGGATTTCTTATAAGCGTCTGGGTTAGAGTCCCGCTCCTTGAAAGTGGCAGCTCTACCCTTTAGCTCAGTGCAGATGTTGCCTGTAATCCATGGCTTCTGGTTGGGGTATGTACGTACGGTCACTGTTGGGACGACTTCATCGATGCACTTATTGATGAAGCCAGTGACTGTACTCCTCAATGCCATCGGATTGAAGTTTCCCTGCATTAAAGTCCCCGGCCACTAGGAGCACCACCTCTGGATGAGCATTTTCCTGTTTGCTTATGGCCGTATCCAGCTCATTGAGTGCGGTCTTAGTGTCAGCATCGGTTTGTGGTGGTAAATAGACAGCTTCAAAAAATATAGATTAAAACTCTCTTCGTAAATAGTGTGGTCTACAGCTTATCATGAGATACTCTTCCTCTGGTGAGCAAAACCTCGAGACTTCCTTAATATTGGATTTCGTGCACCAGCTGTTGTTTACAACTATACACAGACCGCCACCCCTTGTCTTACCGGAGGCAGCTGTTCTATCTTGCTGATGCAGCGTATATCCACCAGCTGTATGTTATCCGTTCAGCCACGACTCGGTGAACATAAGATATTACAGTTTTGAATGCCCCGTTGGTAGGATATCCGTGATCTTAGTTAGTCTATTTTGTTATCCAATGATTGTACATTGGCTAATAGGACTGATGGTAGAGGCAGATTGCGCACTCGCCGTCGGATCCTTAGAAGGCACCCCGACCTACGTCCCCGATATCTCTGTCTCTTTCTCATGCGAAGGACGGGGATTCGGGCCTCGTCGGGTGTCTGAAGAAAGTCATTTGCGTCCGACGCGTTAAAGAAAAAATCTTTGTCCAGTACGAGGTGAGTAATCGCTGTCCTGATATCCAGAAGCTCGTTTCAGTCATAAGAGACGGTGGCAGTAATGTTATGTACAAAATAAATTACAAAATAACACGAAAAAACAAACACACATAATAGCACAATTGCTTAGGAGCCCATAAAACGGCAGCCATCTCCTCCGGCGTCATTCACATTGAACACAGATGGAGGAAGAGAAAAATATTGCGTTGATAGGATGAGGTGAGGCAAGATGGGATGAGGATTATAAAGGAAGAGAGAGACACTTACTTTGGCAATGTAAACATATGTTTCCCATGCCAATAAAGACCCTTTGGATTGAATTGATTTCTTGAGTGCACTCTTCACTTCATTATAACAGTACTAAAAGATGAAAAAACAATGATGATGATTAGAGAAGAGCATGGAATGTCTATGGGCCTGGCTATTGGAATGAGA